TAAAAAGATGTATATATTTTATTATATCCTAAACCTAACATTACCCTAACTTTAGTAGTAAAAAGATGTTTATATTTTATAATATCCTAAACCTACCATTACCCTAACTTCAGTAGTAAAAAATGAATATATTTTATAATATCCTAAACCTACCATTACCCTAACTTCAGTAGTAAAAAGTTGTATATATTTTATAATATCCTAAACCTATCATTACCCTAACTTCAGTAGTAAAAAGATGTATATATTTTATAATATCCTAAACCTACCATTACACTAACTTCAGTAGTAAAAAGTTGTATATATTTTATAATATCCTAAACCTACCATTACCCTAACTTCAGTAGTAAAAAGTTGTTTATATTTTATAATATCCTAAACCTAACATTACCAGTAGTAAAAAGATGTATATATTTTATAATATCCTAAACCTACCATTACCCTAACTTCAGTAGTAAAAAGATGTATATATTTCATAATATCCTAAACCTACCATTACCCTAACTTCAGTAGTAAAAAGATGTATATATTTTATAATATCCTAAACCTACCATTACCCTAACTTCAGTAGTAAAAAGATGTATATATTTTATAATATTCTAAACCTACCATTACCCTAACTTCAGTAGTAAAAAGATGTTTATATTTTATAATATCCTAAACCTACCATTACCCTAACTTCAGTAGTAAAGATGTTTATATTTTATAATATCCTAATCCTACCATTACCCTAACTTCAGTAGTAAATAGATGTATATATTTTATAATATCCTAACCCTACCATTACCCTAACTTCAGTAGTAAAAAGTTGTATATATTTTATAATATCCTAAACCTACCATTACCCTAACTTCAGTAGTAAAAAGTTGTATATATTTCATAATATCCTAAACCTACCATTACCCTAACTTCAGTAGTAAAAAGATGTATATATTTTATAATATCCTAAACCTACCATTACCCTAACTTCTTCAGTAGTAAAAAGATGTTTATATTTTATAATATCCTAAACCTACCAATACCCTAACTTCAGTAGTAAAGATGTTTATATTTTATAATATCCTAAAACCTACCATTACCCTAACTTCAGTAGTAAAAGATGTTTATATTTTATAATATCCTAAACCTACCATTACCCTAACTTCAGTAGTAAAAAGATGTATATATTTTATAATATCCTAAACCTACCATTACCCTAACCCTTGTAACAACCCTCTCTATCAAACCTGTCCTTCATATAAATTATTTGAAATCAGACTAAATTATCCAGTCTATAATAAACTATGATATTAGAAATATTCAAACAGAACCTAATTATGTAAAGTCACACTTGAATTAAGCATGCGGTCAATGGAATGCTCAAAATTAGTTGCTTTCTGAGGGGTGGTGCTTAGCAGTTAAGAATGACAAGTTAATATTTTGTAATTACAGGCATGTCCTAATAATAACAAGAGGCTTATAACAATTAAAATAGTCTTACTGATATTCAACATTAAAATAATCTTCAAGGCAAGACTGTTTTACACTTTTAAATTTTGGATGTATTATCTTTTCCTGGATGGTTTAGACCAATATACTACGCAATAATGGCAAATTTGGTTTTTGGCCAATTTTTATATCAATAGTTAGATAGTCTTCAATCAAATAGGATTTAAAAATTTGGTGCATGATTAAAATTATCCAAAAGTTACATTCATGGATATTAGACAATGGATATTCTGTTTGGCAGTAATTAACTGTGAGTTTAATTTATCGGATTAACAAGGATTATCGATAATTGGCTGCTATCAAGAAAATTTGGTTGAAAATTGCATCGGGGGATTCTTGGTGGCTGTTCATTAAAGGGTTGTGCTGAGTACAAGTGATCGTTAGTACAAGTTTGACTTGAGATCACTAAAACACATGACATATTCCCTAATTGTCTGTTTAAATTTAGCCGTTCAAAAATCTTAATTTAGATCAAAATATCATTGGAAAAAAGACATCATGCATAATACAGATAAATAGAATATTTTGCTCTATTTACATTAGGTTACGTGACAATTTTTAAATGGCAATAGCCAAGTGACTTATTATCGTACAACAAAATGAAGATAAAATTAGGTAGATCTTGTTGTGGGATATCACTTTTATTCAGGTCACAAGATCAACAAAAGTCAAGGTCACAAATAAAAGCCATGAAAGTTTGGTAATTTTCAACAAAATAAATCTGGTATTAAAAAACAATGGAATCGAAATTTAAAAACTTTCCATTGACACTAATATCAATCAAATTGAGTCATCTATTAATTAAATAATTTGATTGAAGAAATGAGCGCGTTGCAATAATATTCTTCAATCTAAAGATGTTAAGCTCTCCTGACTGTTTAATGAAGTTTATTGATTTGAATTCCACTATATAATGACTTATAACATGTATCGAGGAAGGTGATATAAACTCTTCACTGGGCGATTTGATGTGTCAAAGCAAATATTGTTTATTTGTAATTCAAGTATTTAAAATTATCTTACCTGTGCGTTTACATATTGGGTTTTGATATCTCCATTCTTCCTCAACACATTCCAGCTCTTGTACCATCTTGAAACCTTTATTACATGTAATGACTACATTTCCATTGCAATCTTTATCAAAATTTGCGTCTGTTACATTTGGATATGTTGGACAATCTGTAAATTTAATTTGATATTATTTGTTGCCATTAATTATTTCTGACTCAATATACTACCCTCGAACAATTATATCATCAAGTATTTGTCTCAAGAACTACATGTTAATTTACTATTTACAGACAGATGATTTAAAATGTGTTTAAGCTAGTTATCCATGCTGCTGAAAAGAAAGTTGCCTTGAGTAAATTTCTTCTGACTCGGACACTTCCCACAATAAAAAAAAAGCTAACATAAATTTCGCCCAGATATACAAACTTTGATTCATAAAGCAACTTCTAGATAATGAATAACATATTTACCGGCGTCTACAAGAATCACCATTATGGAAATCAACAGAACGGAACATAATAGGTTATTCATGGTTTTAACGTTAGCAAGACCTGCTGATATTATATATATACAGACTTGATACACTGTCGAATGCAAGATTTGGTCACGTATTTATAGTAAATACAAAGTCTCCCACTGAACAGATGTTTCTATAAAGACTGTCAATTAATATTTTATACCAGCAGATTAATGATAGATATCATACAGAATTTTTATTTATTCAACACAACTTTTTAACGAAAGGTTGCCATTAATATTCACCAAAATATTCTACAGATCAACTGTAAAACAATAATATTACTAGAACTGTGAACAACTTAACCTTTGGCTTTTAAACCTTTTGATACTCCCAGCCTGTTAGCTTTCAACCCTGGTGCTTTTAAGCCTGTAATTTTTGAAAAAGAAATGAAATAATTAATTAAAAGGTATCTTTTAAATAAATCTTGTATATATATATTTACACTCCTGAAATGTCATCTCAAAATTTTTCCAGTTTGGGCTACTAGCTCGAGCTACCTCTCATTTGGTCTTATTTTCTTTCCCATTTGGGCTACTGATTGGGAATCCCTGAAAACAAAACGAAAAGCGGATGTGTATTAACGTATTGCATATCTATATTTTATCTACAGTGGCTCAACTACCATAAGGACTGGTTGAATCAAGTCCACGGGCCCCCACCCTCACCTTTAGACAAAATTTATTCAAAGTAAGTATTTAAAAGGTTAACACACAATATAATTTAAGTGGTTTATGCTGTATCTCAGCTTCTGTGTAAGATACGATGTTTTGTCGACTCTTAGTCTATTAAATAGTGCTACACATCATCAATAGATAGATTTATATATAATATGGAGTTATCACGGGGCATGGGTATGAATCAAACCACTATTCTGACCAAAATACCACTGAAATTTTACAAAAAAACACTGAAATTTTACAAAATACCACTGAAATTTTACTAAATACCACTGATTTTTGGTATATTTTTTTTAAATCTTTCACTGAAATTCAGTGAAATCTCAATTCACATTAAAATTTCATTGAAAATTTGAAATATGATGCAATATGATATATATCAGTGAAATTTCCATTAGACTTAATATTGTGCTATAGAAACAATATACAAACAATTTTCCTTTATATTTTATATTTATTGTTTCTTAATATTCTTCTTCGTTCGTCATGTTTATTTTTTAGACCAACTCTGCAGTCAAAATTCTGTGGTCAAATCATATCATAATCACTATGTTTGTGTCATATGGCAAGAGATGAATATTTTTTCTCAGACAAAATAGACTGCAGGTTACACAATTGTAATATTATCAAATTAGGCACAGAAAGAACAAGATATTGAATGTCAGAAAAATTTATAGTTCCCAAATCCATCACCTTTATTTTTTTCATCCATAGTTTGGTCATCTATAAAGCCAGCAAAGATTATATCTACGTCTATGGATTATAAGGACAGGTGTGCCATTTTGAGGTGTTGATTTGAGTCTTGAATATATATATATGTAAATATTCTTCAGAGTTACAAGAAATATACAAAAATCACATAATTCTTTCAATAATATCTCAAATTACAAATTTTACTCATTATTTCTATAGACTTCTTTTCTATATATGGCAGTGTCTCTAGAAAAGATGACTCTTCTATTTAACTTTTGGATAATTCCGGACGCACACATGGATTTTAAGGCTCAAATTTCAATGGAGAGCTGTGTACACTATTACTGACTGAATAATTGCCGCCTTTGAGACTAAGGTATGATTGGTCCAAACATGGTGCAACTGTTCCTTTAATTCTAGGAAAAAAAAGAAAATATTTTCTATACCAGCCAACCTGATAGATTGAATTTGATAAATAATATCATTAATTCTGACTGCTAACTGTATGTTATATATCACACTTGCCTGGTAATTAACACTGGTGGAACCAATAAGTATGTTAGTCACACCAAATGTCATCCAAGTGAAGTATGAATCAGTTTTGAAAGTACTAAGGGTAGGGTAAAGTGAAAAATATATACATTATAAAGAACTTAATATTAGAATAATTTTTAATAAACCATTATAGAGGTGGGTTGATTTATACATGCTCAGCCTCCGGCTTTACTTAAATAATGCCTCTCGTCCACCATTCATACTTCACTTGGATGAGGAGACATTATTTTCCATACAGCCTTCGGTTTTCAAAAGTGGTTCTAACAAGGCTGAAAAACCACTGACACATCAACACCAAAAAGGTATGTACAAACACAGTTTCAACTCTACACTGCTGATGCAAATGAAAAATCTTTCGACTGTATTTCTCTGAAATAAAATTTATGAAAATTCTTTGTGTTTGTGTATAAACACCAAATATACCACCCCCTCCATGCCAAGTCGTATTGCTTATTGGTACCTGTTTTACATGAAGACAATATGATGGTGATAGATCACTCCTGAAGTCCTTGCATTTCAAGATGTCGCCTTAGACAATAACTGCAACTAAAGATAGTTTCTAATTTAGAGGATGGCACGGGTTATTGTAAGGTAAAGTCAACGTATCTTTGTGTCTTGGTATCCTAATAGGAAAAGAAACAATTATTTCTAAGAGTATTGGAATCCAAGGTTGAGAAATCCAATGGGGAATAATTCAAATAGCTAATTTAACATTATTTGATATAATTTTATTTACCACCCGCAAAATCAGATTAAAAAGTGGGAACAGATATGGACAAAACTCATGCCTTGAAAACGAGAAAGCATGCCACTTAAAGCAACCAGGTTGTAGAAACCAAGAGACAAAATGTTCTAGTCTATAATTCAGTATGGATGCAAACATATCCACATCAGGTACAAAGGACTGTCTTTAACTTCCATTCTATATTATTATAAAAATTCCTAGAAAGAGAATCAGCTTGAATATACACTACAGACAGAAAAATATTCCTATTCAATGCCCAGAGCCATATATCTTTTGAAATTTTATTCATCTGTCAAGAAGCCATTCATCCCATATCATTGAGGTAGATAATAGCAGAAATATTATCAGTCTGAAACTGAATATGACTATTAGATTCATGGCAAAACAAGCTATGTAATGTATATGACCAGACGTAGCCAATATTTCTAGAACATTAATATGAAATTGTGTCAGATGGATTGGTACCATCATCAAAATACATCATTGTTAGAAACCAGGCATTGCTCATTCTACTATTGAAATCTTAACCGATTTGTTCATTATCTGAATTATCAAATTCCACATGAATATTAGGTCTGTTTTCTTACAGATATGGATTGTACCTATCACTGTTATCACATTGTTTAAAGTGATACTACGTCTTAGAATGAACACAAAATTTTTGATTTTTTAATGTGGCCAATAAGAGGATATATTCATCAGTAGATATACCTGGTGTCCTAAATAACATAACAAGCACCTTATATAATCCCA